CTTCTATTCAATGAATAAAGTAAATTTTAAGAATTAAAAAAAAATCAAGTTTTCATAATTAGCATAATTTAGATAAGTCTGAACTTTTAAATGTTTTTAAATGTCTCAAGATTTTTAAATTTATCTAAGTTACATGTAAATTATTCCAACGGCACTAGGTAGTATTGATGGATGGAGCAGATTTTTTAAACAATGAGATCCACGGAATAACATTAGAATTACCGAACTAACAATTTTTTCCGAAGCCTCCCTTAGCTCAGTCGGTAAAGGTGCAGCTACAAATCAAGACAATGTTGGAGGTTGCTGGGTTCGATTCCCGATTCGGTCTAAGAATTTTTCGGGTAGGAAAACTTCTCGACTTTCCTGGGCATAGAAGTATGATTGGACTTGCCACACAATTATACTAATGCAAAAATGGTATAGGCATCGAAAGCTCTCAATTAACAACTGTGGAAGTGCATCTAGAACACTAAGTTGAGAGCACGCAATAAGCTAATATGCGATAAGCTTGAAATGCGAAGAAGAAGATTCTTTTTTAAAGATAACATGAGATTTAAAAAAAAATTGGCTACCGTAAGAAGACAGAGTGACATTGGGCCGATTTTTTTTTATTGATGCAAACATCTTGAATATACAGAAAATGATGAATAGAATATGTTTATTGAGCTCCTGGAGTAAAGTGTCGATAACATTAACCAGTTGTTTTATTTAAATGGAGCTGTAAAGTTAAGTGTCATAAATAGTAGCAAAAAACCCGTTTCAAAAAATGTCCACAGGCAAACAAAACTTTGAACACACTTTAATGTGGATATACGAGGCTTACACGCGATCTCTAGCCATACATATGAAGTGCACTGTGATCATAACCAAGTGTACTCCTAATAGCTACGTTACATTCACAAATTTTAAGATATTTCAACCAAATTTATGTTTTGGCCCAATACCATGTTTTACATTGGTCTATTTTTAATTTAATTTTATTAATATGACCGTCCTAAATATATCATTGATGAGAATATGCGCATTCTTTCAATTGTGTATGTTGCATGGTAGGAAACGAAATTTTTGGAATTTTTGGTCAAATGTCATCCCCACTTATGGTTTCTTCACATTCTTGAACTATGCGAGATTACTGACGTTAAATATGGCGTATTTTAAAGATCTCAGATTTAAAAAAAAAAACTTGACATTTCACGATTCTGACACTTCGAAGCATTGGCTGGAGAATTATGATGATCAAAAACGAATTCTGGGGAGAATTTCAATGTAATTTGAACATAAATTACAGGTAGTTTTGAGATGTATTTCAAGAAAAGGAGAAGGAGAACTACAGGTGCATTCTAGGCATGGGGATTGTGAATAGTATTCAAGGGAACTCAAAAACAAATTGGAATGAATGAATTTCAAGAAGCATTCCAAGCGGATCAGAAAGGGGATTCCAAATGAATCAACCATGAGGCAAATTTAATGATGATATGACACAACCCTAAAAGTACTACTAACAATCACCATCGGTCGAAAATCTCTTAAATTCTGATCAATTTATTATTAAAAGAAAAAATCCGAGTAGAGCTGCAAAGAAATATAGATAACAATGCCAAGAGAATCTAACCCAAATAACAATTTTGGTTTTTTGAGGGTTCTGTAGATCATGATTTAGACTTGCATGCTTTTAAAACCACTATAAAACTAGCAATGTTACTTGGGAATTCTTACTATAGCTAAACAAAATCTTTGCATAACTTTAAGCTAGTTTGAAGATAGTTTCAAGGGAATTCTTAAAAGAATTTATAACAATTAATCAGAAAGTTTGGGAGGATTTAGCTGGAAATGTTGAGCATATTTCCAAATAAGCTTTGAGTAGCTTGCCAGAAGATTATGAAAACAATTCCAAGAGAATTCTAAGGAGAGATAATTTCAAGGATCCGTCTAAAGAACATTTAAAGAAGCATTTTAAGGTAATTGTGATGATAATTTCTATGGAATTCTGACGTTAAATCCAAAAAAAAAATTGGGATAACACGTTTCTAAATTGTAAATAGCATACCACAAGATTTCGAGAGAAATTAAAGCAGTTTCTGAAAATTACTGAAAAATGTAGAGCTAATTTTAAGAGTTTTCTGGATATTTTTATGGATAAAATTTCAATGGATTACCGGGCAAAATAATAAGATTATTGAGAGGAATGCTGAAATTAAAAGAAATTATGCCGACATTTTTGAATGATCCTAATGATCGAATCCTTGAGAAATGTGCAAACATATCTTGAGATAAGTTTCAAAAGAAATAATCTAGTCAACATTCAGATTCCATACACAGAACATAGTATGTCCCTAATTTGGGCCCATACATAAATTCAGCAATCGACTAAATTTGCAATAGCGACCAAAAACATCCGTTAGTACCGACCCAATGATGCGTTTATCTAGATAAAATTGATAAATAGCAGATTTTTAGCGATAGGCCCAATCTTAGATCCATAGGCCAACATTAGAGCCATTTATAATTTAAAAAAATTATATGTTAACGTTGCAATCATATTCCCTGTTATTTCACGGTTGTTTTCGATTCACGGTTACTTCCCGGTTCAGTGGGACTACCCTGCTTATAACAAAAAAAAAATGCAGACTCGACCTTTTCCGATTCGCATACAACTTTGCACAAATGTTTGTTTTGGACAATTCTGGTTAATTTAACATTATTGCTGCTTTCAAAACATTTCAAAATAGCATATTCGACATTTTTCAATTAATCCTAGCACGAAAACGTCACTTCTATTTTATTTATTTTTTTTTTATTATAACGAAGCAGTGTAAGTATGCATAGATTAGTAAAATTCACAACCGGTTTTTCGAAGCATCAGCTCACATCTAAAAAATCAAGTTTGACGAGCATTTTCTCGACTGTTTATTTGACTAGTAAAAAATAGTAAATATATTACGCCATATTTTTATAACAGCTTAAAAAACCAACCATCACACCGATCCAGAAGCCGCTAACAAACAGTTCAAGCAAAGAGTCAAGAATGAGCTCCGAAAACAAACTCCCCCACTGAACCCCCGACGTTCTTTGGTTTGCGACGACACGTCACGGAGAAGCGACCCACAAGTGCTGATCCTGGAGACTCCTTTTATCACAGATACAGATAGGAAATCCTTCCTGATGCAAAGGAATCACCATGAATCAAGATGTATTCAAGGAGAGGCAACATGTTAATTCAGTTGAAAAGTATTATCTGTACGAGGTGGAGGAAGCGGTCAAGGGCTTGGTGGATATCATCCTGATTCAAGCAAGAAAGGGTGAACCAGCAGAACCATGCAATTTCATCCGGTTGACATTGCTCATGGATTCATTTGGTGAGTTCGTTCCTATTTATTAATTCACTTATGATGATGATCATCAACAGCATTGAACAGCCAAAACACAGGTGCAGATTTAGGTGAAAGGGGTTGACAAAATTGACATTACTGTAAATCATATATTTTAAAACATTATATTATATATTGAGTTGGGGAGGAGCAGCCTAAGGTAATCACAGGATTTGTTGACTGGACGAGGGTTCATGGATTTGCCAGTCCCTTGTCACGTGATTACAGATGGCTGGCTATCTGGTCGTTTTGTCTTCCAAAGGTCTTCAATGAAGCTGATGCATCCTGCTGTAACAAATCATCAGGAAGAACTTTACAACCGGTAAAGTATCTGCAGACATCGGTAATCCTTGCACTGATGGTGGGTTCCATCCACATCACATCACATCGCATCAGCTCGCATCTAAAAAACAGTCATTGCATTCCCTCTGCCATGATACACATAGACTGGCCCACATTTATATGAGGGAAATTTTTTACCATTTTTTTCAACGGGCCAACCCCTAGATTTGTGCCATTAGGTGAGAAAACCCTTCTCTGAAAATTTCAGCTCATTCGGATGTAACACGAGCTAGCGCTTTTGATTTAAAAATTATATGGGGATATTGGTTGAAATGTATAGAGAAATAATATTCCTTCACTCTTTCGTGCACAGTAAACTCTATTGAGCTCAGAATTTCAGCACACGTTGCTTAAACTATAAGAAACAACTTTTCTCAAGACAGCATCACGATTCAAGTTAGTAGTATGGGGATATTAATATGCGAGCAGAATGCACATAATACAGGTAGCTTATGCGACGTATCAACTAGATTACCTCTAAAAATAAAAGTTCATATTTTCCACATGTTAACATCCAGGCTCGTGTCTTTTAGTGCGATAACCACTTTCTTAATGTTTCAGCCTTTTTTTACGTTACACGGGCTTGTGCTTGTGGTTTAATGTTCTTAGAGGAGATTTTTTTGAAATTTTCTTATACGAAATGCAATATACATTCAAACGTGAATATCTCAATAAAACTAACTGGAGTCATAAGGCAATCTTCAGCGAAGTTGTTACGCATTAATTTTACTGCAAGTTTTGAAAATCTGAATCAAATCGAGAATAAGGGAACTTTGTTATGATCGATAGAGTGTAAGAGTGTCATTATTTCATGTATTTTATACAAATTCCCCATACAAAATTCAAACTAAAAGCGAGAATGGTTTTCTCACCCACCTAAAGGCACAAACCTAGCAGTTGGCCCGTGGAAAAATAGAACTTTTATTTTTGTGGGCCAGTTCAATACACACAATTACTGCCTCTTGCAATTTTAATCAGTGCTTAAAAAAACACAACTGTTTGTAATTTTCGAAAATGCGCCTTAATACACAACCATTTTTGGGAAAGAAAAAAAAGAATCTCGCAGTCTCGCCATGATTGACGTACTAGCTTTTTGCGAATTTGATGAGAATTCGACAACTTTCTCAGCAGCACTTCCCAACATCAAGCAACTAAAAACTAGAACAAAAAATAATATGGTTGGCTCGGGTCTAAAATAATCTATAAATGTTTTGGACTTGCAAAGATTACAGTTTCATATTACAAATACTTTATAGTTTTATATTACAAACTTCAAACCAAAATACTCACCGGTACAAAATAAATGCATATTAGAACAGGACTGTTTTCATTCTGTAAATAGATAAAACATAAAATAGTGTTAATTATTTGTTTAAGATTTCGATTTGATTTGATTGCACACACTAAAAATAAGAACACTAAATGAAAATTACATGCGACATCCACAACGATAATAAATGGAGCATGCATTGTACATTATAATTGAACAGCTTTTGGTATGTAACTCCTTCAAACATGTAAATTTACAAACTCGGCATTTAACTTTACATGCAAGTCACGTAAACTAACATGATGCTCATGTGCATCATGTTATCTTCCATGTTACATGATGTAATATTACACGTTTTCTTTTTCGTGAATTGGAATTCTACAATAATTTTTTCTGCTGTATAACTGACTTAGAAAAATTGATGTAAATTTATGTGCTCTGAGACTGACATGTACGAGCGTCAATTTTGACATAAAATTGAGTCACAATAGACTTCCGGAGTGAATCGAGAGAAGAGCGCTTCTGCTTTTGTATCAAATCCTCTACAAGTTGGTATAGTTTGATTGCGAAATTGAGCGTTTATTCGCGAGAAAACGTCAATTGATGTCATTGTTTACAAAAACAGATACGCCCTAATTTCTAATCAATCCAGATTTCCGGTGGAGACATGTAAGAAGGGCCTAACTTGAAACGTAAACAACAACGCACAGTAAACTTAAATATCAGATGATGTCATCTGGGACGGGACTTGACAAACGGGTAGCAATTTCGAGTCAATTTACTGTTTAATCCGAGCCAGTTGCTGATTGGTGATTTGACAGTAGAAATCGTGGAATAAAAACGACAGAGGGATCACATCAATCTGGCTGGACGTGATGCCGGAATCAATGTTAACGTCAATGGCGTTGTTTATTGTTTATATTTGCGAAAGGAAAGTTTGAAAATAGGGTTACGGTGTGCTCTAAGAGATGGATATTATTGTTTGTTTATGGTTGTTTTATTGTGTTAAACAAAAATGATGTACAAGGTGCTAAGCTGCGGTAGAAACTCCGAATCAAATTCGAATTAAAATAGAAAAATCATTTTGCAATCCTGACATCATTGGTCAACTCCTTCAAACACCATGCACTAATTTTCGACAGACATTCATCAAAAACATTCAGAAGAGTGAGAAGCTGGATTGTCAAGTCCCGTTCCGGGGTGTCTTTAATTCGCGTGAGATTGTTGTGAGCCGTGGAAAATCGATGCTTAAAGTAACTGTTAACGTTTCGGAACAGACCTATCTTTGATTTCAGCGAAAACTTTCCCATTTCAGCCCACAGTACCAACATTTACGAAAACCGAAATCCATTGAAATCAATTCTGAATTCACCCAACATAGACACAGCAATCGACGTTCCCCTTTTCAACAGCACCTCAGGCCGCCGCAACAGCATAATAAAAGTAGATGCAGCGTCGTCATTGGAATAAACCACCATCGTAACGCTAATAACCCAGCTGGCCGCCGCCGTCGATCCGAATTCGAATGCAACTCGGGCAACTGACGCGACACGACGAAAAGCAGAGCACCCCCGGCCAGCTGTTTCGTGCGCTGGTTGGTTGGTTGGTTGGTAGGTAGGTAAGTCGCCCAGCTTTAGCCAATCTTGTTGTTGCCAATAATAATTGCTTCTTTCGCCCGCCGCCGCGAGACGACGGCAACGACGATGGACGACGATGAACCATTACCATTTCCACGATTCGTGTGTTTTTTTTTCTTGTCGGTTGTTCCTTTTCATCGCCATTGTTGTCTGCCGGGATGCTGCTGTCCTAGAGGTCGTCTCTGCGGTGACGCACCCACGCGCGCCATCCGTGCTCGATTGTCATCAGCCATCTAAACAGAGTCAGACGACCAGAAATTGCTTCCATACGTTCTATCCAACCAACCATCCACCCGAAAAACAAAATAATGATGATGATGGCGATGATGATGGCGATGATAATGGGTGGAAAAATGTGTGCAATAACAAAAGCAGACGACGACCACGGATTGTGTGAGTGTGCATTTATTTTAAAACCACGCAGATCGAGACCTCTAGAGTTGATATGATCAATTGAACTGATCTTGAATATCATTGCAAAATCTGCCACGAAAGACGGCGAGAGCGGTTCTTGCTGTAATTGTTGCACTCTTATTATATAACAACACACAAGACAAGACGATGGTGAACCTTGCAAGCGAAAGAGCATCGCCGTCGTCTCGGTCGTTCCATTAACCGCAACAACTGCACAACCGATGAGGACAACGAACGTCTCCTAAGAAGTGCTAAAGAGATGCTTGCACTTTTTTTTTTCCTTGTGGCTGCTCCGTTTGTCTCCGACGCGGTGTTTTACCCGAGAAGCGTGGGAGATTCTGTGTCTGTGCTGCTCGCTTGTAATTGACATTGAAGATGAGTAATTATTGTGAAGTCAACCACCACCGGTAGGGTTACAAACACGTCTACCTTTCAACGAGGTAATTCTATCGATTTGATTCGGAAGAGTAGGTACGAACGAAGGCGTTTGCTGGGAACATGGACACATCCTACCCATCACGGGATGAACGGTCTACAACTGTTAATTGGACAGGTTTCAAGTGATAATGAAGCACCGATTCGGTATAAGCAAGCGATATTTTTTAATAACAGAATAATAATAGTGACGGTCGCCTGAGTTTACAGTAAGACACTTTTTCTTAGTGTTTTAAGATATGAATAAAGATGTACACTAACTGTTCGATGGGACTTCCTTATTCTGTCTGTTGCCACACTAATCCGGACACATCAAAACTGAAGTAAAACACAAAATTCACACTTATGTAACTCCATCCATTAGGATTTGTACAGACTCCTCAGATACCGTCTATGTCCAAATTTGTTAGAAGTGTTTGATATCTTTGATTCCTTGTTTTTTTTTCAGAAAGCTTCCGCTTCATCAGAGCCCAATATCTTTCGATTGGATGTAACTCTGGACAATTTGACGGATTTTGGTACAATATTCACTTGATTTGCTTCGTACCACTCAATCACATTTTTAGCATAATGGCATGATGCTAAATCGGGCCAGAACAAAGAGTTTTCTTTGTGGCATTTGATGAAGAGTAGCAATTCTGTAGGCACTCTTTCTGGTAAATCTCCTTGTTGGTTGTGCCTGTAGAGACGAAAGATTGACTCTGTCGGCCACACGTGCAAATTGCATGCCAAATAAGGTATTTTTTGGGAAATTTCGATGCCTTCTTCGTCCTGAAATACTCAGTTGTAGCATTTTTGGCCATAGCAGAATAGAAAGCCGGCCCTGGAAGCTGCCATAAATCTTGCAGGACATAAGTTTCATCGTCCATAACAACGCATGTAAACTTCGTCAAATATTCACAAGTCAGGAACTCGTAACATTGGCGTGAGAGGTATGGATGTTAACCACTACGCCATAATATTGCATTCTTGAAATTCTTTCCAGAACAATCAACAATATTCATGGAAATAGATGATTTTCGTAGTTGGGAATGCTTAACATAAAATATCAGAATTAAAGTGGACATTTTATACGATAGATGAGGAGATGAAAGTAAAGAGCTTATCCGTTATAGTGTGGCAGTGTGAAATTTGTATACAGAAAGTAGAAAGCGAACAAGGGACAAGTTTGAGAAAGGTACGAATAGGGTAGAGCATCTCCTTTACCAAGCTCATCCGTTAATGAGGGATGGTGAGGGGTGTTTCCCTCTGCCACCACTGGCAAAAGGGATAGTTTTTAATCGAAATGGTGTTCTAAAGTTTTGCGGTTCACTGGGCACCCTGGTTAAAATTTTCAATTTTTAACAGATATGTATATTTTGTTAAAACTACTGTAGACTTTCTTAGTGCCAAGTACTCAATTTAAACATTTTGATGATATTTTTAAATTTCACTTTATTTTAATAGAGAAACAGTTTCACTTTATTTTAACAGAGAAATTTTTAGCGAAATAGTGACTTTAGTGACTTTTTGGTGTAAAAAGTGACTTTTTAGTGACTGGCTTAAAAATAGTGACCAAGTCAAAGTGACCTGCTACCAGCCCTGCAATATGAAACAGATCGCTAATATTAGGAAGAGCGCTACTTCGTCGAAATCGTCCATTTCTACATTCATCCGTAGGACGAAGAAAATCCAATGGCGTTTCAATGCGTTTGGACGGAATTGAAACTCGTAGGACGAATTTGGAATCAAGAAGCAGTGTTAGATTTTTAACAATATCTCAACAATGTGTGGCTCTTTAAAGATTAAAAAGATTAAAAATATAACTATCAAATTCAACGGTATTTATGGAAAGGGAAATAAATTTAGATGTCATCTTAGATAGAAACGTTTCATTTATTGTAAAAACCCGTTCAAGAAAGAGAGCTAAAGCGTGAGTTGTGCTTAGTAGGACGGGAATTAAATCAAAAACCCTACGTCGAAAAAAAATTTAGCATTTGTAGTAAAAACTAAATTTTCTTTTTAACAATTGAAGATTTACTAAAATCCGTTAACGACCAAAAAAGTTACAACTGTTAAAAAAAATCTTTTCAGCATTTTGGAATCGAAGATGGTGACTTCTGGTTATCAAGTTAGCCTAAAACACACTGCAATTTAAGTATTTTTAACGCCATGGTGGCAATTGATTTTTTATTTAAAAATCTTAGGCTTTTCCCGGTTTTCCTGATGAATAATTCGACAATTTCCCGGTTTTAAAAGACAATTGGAAATTTTCCAGACGAATATTTAATTTCTTGTGTAAATGTAATTGGAAAATTGATCAAATTTTCCGATTTTTTTTATAATTAGAAATTGAAACCGTTTTATTTAACCAAAACTATGTTGGATCCCAATTTTTTTAATCAGATAAATTAATCATTAGATTTTAAGAACAACACGGTCTAATAATTATTTCGAAACACCACATCTAATTTTAATGATTCTGTATAAATGTATTCATATAGATTTTTGAATAAATCCATAAATGTTCCCCAACACCTTCGTTCGCGAAAACCAGTTTTGAAGTTTTAAAATTCATATAAATTAGAGTCATAATG